GGCCATGCCGGGAGGGGTGCACTGGTGGGAGTCACCCTGGTGTCGGTGGCTTGACTTTGCTCGTGACATGGGGACAGAGGCGCTTGGGCTGTGCGGTCACCACCATCACGGCTCCATCCAGGGTGTCCCCGAGGCTGCCTGGCTCCAGGCGCTGAACTGCCCCGCGTCCGTGAAGTCCTTGGCAGCCACCTGGACATGGTGCGAGGCGCCTGGGTGCAACCCCGTCAGCGTGAAGGATGTCTGCTCATAGGGCCCGAGCTGGGGACAGGACAGGGCCAGGGTTAGGGGAGACCCAGAGGGGACAGTTCCTTGGTCGTGCCTCATTTTATCCCACAGGCAAGGACAGCAGCACAGCCATGTGCCAGGGGCCAGACAGTACCGTTTGGGAGCTGGCGTTCTCATCCCACGTGTAGCGGATGTAGTACTTGAGTGGGAAGTACCCAGGGAAAGGCCAGGACCCTGGTGGACTCCACTCCAGCAGCAGCTTCTTGGTCTCACCAGGGATGGGTGAGACCCGCAGGTCCTCAGGGGGGTCTGGCTTTACTAAGGAAGCAGGGAAATAATGACAGCATGAGCTGCTGGCCAAGGAGTTCCTAGGCCATGGGGACAGGGGACTGCCGTTGGGCTGACTGTGCTGTGCAGCCCAGGCCTGGGGCTGGGCTGAGACCCAGCAACTCGTTGCACTGAGCTTTGTCTCTTGAGTAAGAAATGCGCGGCACCCTCCACCAAAACGAGCCCCGGGGCTGGATTAAACCTACGTCCCACTTGACTGAAATGCGGCACCACGTGCCGGAGGGGACTGCAGCACCCAGACACCCGCAGCACTCACTGACGTCCTCCACGAGGAAGGGGAGGAGGCGCGAGGCAGCGCCCAGGGGGTTCACGGCCGTCACGTTCAGCACGTAGGGGGTGAGGGAGAACAACTGGATGTCGCCGAAGGAGCAGCTGTGGGGCCCCGTGCGGACGCACTCACGGCTCCCGGCGGCCCCCCGCGTGCCGTG